AAGCGCTGCCCCCGCAGATCGCACAGTACCTGCACTCCACGTCTCCCACTCCCGGACCCAGCCCCGCAGGCACCTTGCAGGCTGGAGCCCCGCCCGACCGCCCCCATCCGCACGCAGGCGCACTTCAGATGGACTGCGGGCTGGCGGGGGCCAGGTGACTAGGTTTCTCATTGGCCGCACTCCTCGCTAGAGAGGGGCGGGGCGGGACGGTCACGTGACGGCTACCGCAGCCTTCTCGCTGGTAGCGGGCTGAGAGGGCTAGAGCGGCCGCGAGCCGTTCAGTCCGGCTTCCGGCGGCGTGGGCGGAACTTCCGGGGCGGGCAGTCGGGGCCAAGGAGGAGGGTCTGACAGTTGGCGCCGCCGGGAGGGAGGGCGGGCTGCGCGAGTGGGCGCGGGCCCAGTGGGCCAGGTGAGGCGCGGGCCGGGGGCAGTGGGACTGGGCCGGCTGCGGTGGGGATGGGAGGCGTCCGGGGCTCTGGAGTCTCAGTCCTGGCTCCTCCGTGCGGCTCCGGGCAGGCGACTTCTTTCTCTAAGCATCAATTTCCTCTCTAGAATGGGGGTCAGAATCCGATTATAGCAGCCCTGTCTGGGGTTGATGTGAGGAGTCGAGCTCGTGCATGTCGGAACCTCTATAGCTCAGCGCCTGGCACTTAATGCTCACTTCGTTACTATTGTTGTTAGCATTTAGGATGTAGTTTGCGCTTGTGAGACCGTGGGCCTGTGACTTCATATCCTGGAACCTCAGTTTCCTCACTTGTACGGTGAAAGCTACTAGCTAAATAAATATTAGCTAAAGGTAGTAGTTAATAGCCAATAGCTATTAGCTACTGGATCGTTGTGAGGATTCGGATGAAAAGTGCATGTAAAAAGCCCTTAGCACAGGGCTTGGCACAGTAAGTGCTCAGTAGACTGGGACCATCATAATGATTGTGAGAGTCATTGGTGTAGCAGGGGGTGGAATGGGGGGGTCCAAGGAAGTAAAGGAGGGGCGGAAGCTCAGAGACAACAACAGGAAGAACTTAGAATCTGGTGGCTGGCAGTCCTGCAAATTGCGATCTTGCCTCTTAATATTTGGCCAATTTTGCTGGGTTTTGTAGTAGAATTTTCTTTAAGACGATTGACATGTTCCTTTGGTCAATTCATTTGAGAAGGCAAGTTGGCGTTGCTGTCCTGAATGGAAAGCTAGCATTGCTGGTGGTGAGACGAAGGATAGCTTAACCTGAAATACAATGGAAGCAGAACAGGCGGTTAAATTGCAGACAGGAATTGAAAGAGAATCGAAAAGGGAATAACTCGTGCTACGTGATTCCATGTTGTCAGATCCCATGAACCATGTCAATTATCTTTTACTCGGTTCCCAAGTTCACACTTTGCACATGACTGACATTAAACTAGTGACTGTCTTACCGACTCTGTTTCCTCTTTCCCTAGCTCCTAGAAGATGCATGTAGTTTATTTAATGCACAATTAACGTCGCACTTACCATCTGCTCCACTTTGTTCTGAGGGCTTTGGGTTTCTGCACCCATGACTCAGGGCAACTAACAGCAGCATCATTTTATTTTACAGTGGAGGGAAGTGAAGTCCAGAAAGGTTAAGCCACTTACTAGAGTTACAGTTAAGCCAAAAACCAAACCCGTTGTCAATTCCAACTCAGAGACCCCAGGTGTTAACAGAGTAGACTGCGCCATAGGATTTTCTCGGCTGTTTTTACAGAAGCGGGATCGCCACTGGGTTCGTTTGCACCACTAAACTTTAGGTTTGTTGATGAGTATCCACCCTTTGCACAGCCCAGGGACACTGAGTCACAGTAAGTAGGGTAACTGGGATTTGGAGCCAAGCCTTCTCAGGGTATAGAACAGGAAGTCTGGGACACGTGGTCATTACTGGAGTTGGGGGGCTGTCATTTTTCTATTCTTATCATTTTTATTCAGAAAGTCAGTGCTGGAGATGGGTCTTTATGATGGTGGAGAAAGGGACATCCACCCAGAATCCAGAGAGAGAAAGTCTTCTCCTAGAGCCGGCACTCTGAGCTCAGACTTCTAGCCTAGTTTGCAGGGAATTCTGCAGCACCAGGGGGAGGATAGGAGCTCTGCTGGTGTAGCGGTTAAGGCATTTGGCTGCTAACCAAAGGTTGGTGGTTCAAACCTACCAGGCGCTCAGCAGAGAAAGAAGAGGCAATCTGCTTCCATAAAGATTTGCGTACAACCCTGGAAACCCAGTGAAGGTCACTGTGAGTCGGAATCCACTCGTGGCAGTGACTTTGCTTTGGTTTGAGATGGGGAGGATAGGAGCTTTGGTGGCTCTGTGGTTAAGGAGGCATTGGGCTGCTAACCAGAAGGTCAGTGGTTCAAACCCACCAGTCATTCCACAGGAGAAAGACGAGGCAGTCTGCTTCCGTAAAGATTTACGGCCTTCTAAACTCAGCAGGGGTCTCTGTGAGTGGGAATCCACTCCGTGGCAGTGGCTTTTGGTTTGGGAGGGGGAGAATACTAGAATTTACAGGATTCCGGTAAGCATTAACTGAGGCCTTGCGAAGACAGACCACGGTGCCTGGCTCGTAGTAATCCCTCCCTCAGAACTAGCCATAAGCAGTGCCCTGACAGGCATTCAGTTCCTGGCCCTGCAGTTACTTGCTGTGTGACCTTGGACTTGCCACTCTTACCTGTAACATAGGAATTGGTTTTCCTTTTTTCCTAGGGTGGTGTGAGGAGCCACTGAGATGGCCACATCCTCAGTGCCCGTCCTGTAGTAGACGTTCAACAGCAGCTACTGCTCGGACGTCAGAATCAGAGAGAACCTGTTTCCAAATCCCAGTAAAGCCGCTTGGCAAATAACCCCACCTCCACTGAGTCTCAGTTTGTTTGTCAGTTAGAATGGGGCTAATTCTAGTCCTCACTCACAAGGATGTGAGGCGTCGGTGTGAGGCGTCGGTGTGAGGCATGGCCCTGGTGCTCGGTTAGTGCTTGGGATGTGAGAAGGCATTGCTTTGCCTAACCTGTTGGGGCTCTCCACGCCCTGCTCTTTGAGCGATGTCTCTTGTGTGTTGTTTTGATCCAGAAGGGAGAATGGACCTAAGAAAGTCAAGTACTGGATGAAGTGATGTTTGTGGTTACACTAAACGATAGGAGATGCAGCAGAGGCCAGAGAAGGGGGAAGAGGAGAGAGTCACAAACGGGGGGGGGGGGTAAGGGAAGGCCTCACAAAGCAGGTGACGGCTAAGGACAATGGAGAGGAGCTTGCCAGGAGGACAGGTGACATCCTGTGTAAACATCGGGAGGCAGACAAGCACCTGGATGGCAGTAGGCCAGCTGGGGTGGAAGAAGAGGAATGAGACCAGGTAGATAGAAAAGCAGCCAGTGCTTGCAGGATACTTAGTATGTGCCAGGCACTGGCCCATGTGTTTTCCACGTAGGAGCTCATCTTGCCCTTCCGGCACTTCTCAAAGTTTAGGGGATGCTAACCAAAAAACCAAACTCACTGCCATTGAGTTGGATCTGACTCATAGCAAACCCTCCTTGGGTTTCCGAGGCAGTATCTGTACAGAAGTAGATTGCCCAGTCTTCCTTCTGAGGAGTGGCCGGTGGGTTTGAACCGGCAGCCTTCTGGTTAACAGCCACATGCCTTAGGCACTACACCACCGGAGCCTCCTAAGGGATGTTTATAACATCTCAGTTTTACAGATGAGGACACTGCAGCCCAACTGGTGAAATCACTTGCCGAGTTCACAAAGCTAGTAAGTGGTGAGGCTGGATTTGAACCCTGGTCATCCGGTTCCCAGAGTCCTCACTCTTAAGCACTCTGCTGTACCGGGCAGAGGGCCTTCTGCACCTCGCTGAGGAGGTGGAGGAAGGAGAAAGGATGAGAGAAAAGTATCAGAACCAGAGGCTGGGGTGGGCAGAGTGGAGCAGAATGAAGGGAGGGGGCGGAGTGATGGAGGAGAGGGTCTGGGGCAAGGAGGAGGAGGAAGACTGAGTGGGAAGGAAGCTTGGTCCAGGGCAACTAGGGTTAGTGGTCCTGAAGACAAATAACATTGACTCATCACTTCCTTTGGTTGCCTTTCACCATTACTATTCATGTCAGTAAAGAAGTCTCCAAGGGTGTTTCTGTGTCTCTGACAACTTTGTAGCTTCAGCTAATCTTATCTGAGTGAAAACTGGTTTTCCCTTTGTTCTCCAGGCCCCGCCTGACTGGTGGCCCTCCTTTCTGACCTTGTCTCCTGCCATTCCTCTTGCTCACTCCACTGCTGCCACTTCAGACACACCTGATACGTCCCTGTCCCTGGCTTGGCGCCTTGGACTTGCTGTTCCCTTTCCTGGGGGCACTCTTCCTCCATCAAGCCACGTGGCTCACTCCTTGGCCTCCTCTGCGTCTCTAAAGGTCATGTTAGAGAGGTTTTCCCCAATCACCCCATTTAAAACGACAACCCCTCCTGTCCCACGCCATCCTCAATCCCGGATGCTGGTTTTGTTTTCTCTGACACCAAAGGCCTCCTGACGTGCTGTCCCACTGGCTTAGTAATCTTGTTTCTTTGTCTGCCCATTCCGCTGTGCCCAGCTAGATGTGTTGGTTCATCTCCACGTTTGTCTCTTTGTTCACCGCAGTATCTCCGGCTCCTAGAACAGTGCCTAGTGCCTAGTAGGTTCTCGGCACGTGTTTATTGAATGGATGAATGGTGAAGTGTCATGGTCAAAGTCTTTGACTAGAGTGTCTTTTGTTCTCTCCCTCCCCTATTCCAGCCAGACCTTTTGGGGTGTGGGGTGATGGAGCTGTAGACATTTGCTTTCCCTGGGCCTTGTCCCAGGGCAGAAGACATGGCTGTGGTGGCAGCCCTGTCCCAGGCTGACTTCCTGCCAGCTGCTCCAGGCTATTCCTGGGCTGTGAGCCCCCAGCCCTGGAATGCTCCCCAGGCAGGCCGGCAGCCTGGCAGCGGGCAAGGGACGTGCGCTCAAAGCTGGCAGCCACTCATGGGCTCTCTCTCCTCCTCTCTTCCAGGCTCCAAGGAGCAGCGTCAGGGCCCGGGAGACAATGGTCTCCGTGACTATGGGTGAGTCTGTGGCCTCCCCTCTGGAGCTCCCCTCCCCACTGCCCTTTTTGAGGTATGGCCTTGGTGGGGGAGACAGGCTGGGGAAGGAGGGCCAGGTCACTGACAGGAACAGCTGTGCTCTGAGGAGCGTGGGGGTGGGGCCAGGTCTGCGCCCTCTCTGTATCTGGCTTCCTGACGTCGTCGGGTGCAGAACTCGGCTTAGGAAGTCTGGCAGATCTTCCGCAGGGCCTCAGTTTTCTCATCGATGCAGTGAAGATAATAATCTGCCCTACCTCACAGGGTGCTGTGAAGATGTGAGGATCATATGTTATTGCATGTAAAATCTGGGGAGAGCCTTTAGTAAACCTTCTCTGTTGTCAGTGTTAACTTGGGAAGCCTTATCGTCAGAGTCTCTTCAGTGCTGTATTTTGAGATTGCCAAGGCAGGGTAGCTTTTGGAAATTTTGAGATTTATTGTACATGTAGGAAAGGACATAGAAGCTACTTGTGTGGTTTAAAGGATAAAAAGCAAACATTTGAGTACATCCTTTGTGATTCTGTTTCCATAAAGCACAGGAACAGGCAAAACCCATCTGTGCTGTTAGAAGCTGGTGGGGTCACCCTTGTTGGGGGGAGTAGTGACTAGCAGAGGGCATGAGGGGAGCTTCCAGGGTGTTTGAGATGTTTTCTTTCTTGATTTGGGTGCTGGTTAGCTGGCTGTATTTGGTTTATGATGCTGTACGGATTGACATGATGGAGAAAAGATTGAAATTGTCAAAGACTTCACATTGCTTGGGTCTACAATGGACGCCAATGGAGGCACCAGTCAGGACATTAGACGACCTATAGCACTGGGCAAGTCAGCTGCAAAAATGTCTCCTTGAGGAATAAGGGGCGCCTGACACAAGCCATGTATTTTCAATCGCCTCATATGCATGTGAGAGCTGGACAATGAATAAAGAAGACCGAAGAAGAATTGATGGTTTTGAGATGTGGTGCTGGAGAAGAATGCTGAAAGTACCATGAACTGCTAAAAAAACTAACAAATCTGTCCTGGAGGAAGTGCAGCCAGAATGCTTCTTGGAAGTGAGAATGGCCGGACTTCATCTCACCTACTTAGGTCATGTCAGAAGGGACCATTCTCTGGAGAAAGATGTCATGCTTGGTAGGGTAGAGGGTCGACGAAGGAGGGGAAGGCCCTCAATGAGATGGGACTGACACGGTGGCTGCCACAATTGGCTCAAATATAGCAGGGATTGCAGAGCTGGCGTGGAACCGGGCGGTGTTTCGCTCTGGTGTGCATGGGGTCGCTATGAGTTGGAGACGACTCGATGGCATCTAACAACAACAACATGGATTGACATGCACTTCTTTGCTTGTGTTCTGGTGGCACAAATGTTTAAGCTCTCAGTTGCTAGCCCAGAGGTTGGTGGTTCGAACCCACCTAGTGGCTCCATGAGAGAAAGACCTGGCCACCTGTTTCCGTGAAGATGGCGGCAAGGAAACCCTGTGGGGCAGTTCTGCTCGGTCACGTGGGGTCTCCACACGTGTCGAAATAGACTCAGTGGCATCTAATGACAACAACAACAACACGAAGAGGTTAAAAAAGCAGCTCTCCTCTGACTCCAGGTCAACGAGTAGAATACGGCCAGCCCCAAGTGTGCCACCCCATTCACGACCCTGTGTGTCCTCCAGGTCGGCTGAACCGCTCTCTGTTGTTTTGTGATTGTCTTTCCTTAGTTTTCTTTATAGTTCTACTGCCAGGGGAAGCATTCCTGGTCAACACGACTCTGGTTTTGAACTTCTGGGAATGAAATCATGCCCTGTGTCCTTTTGTGTCTGCCTCTTCATGGCTGTGGGAGTCGTCTGTGTTGCTGTGTGCGTCACTGTCATCCTGCCTTTCGCACTGGTGTGTGGTGTTACACCGTGGGTGTGACCTCTGCTTATTTGTGCCACTGCTAATGGATGGCATTCTGACTCCAGGGGTGGCTGTTACTGCCATGTGGCTGGTGTGTACGGCAGCCAGGCAGGCCATGCCTCACCATCCCATGACATACGTCGTTTCTTTTCTAATGTCTCAGAAGTGGGGTGTGTCCAGCCGGTGGCTTCTTTAATTGGAGCATTTTTTCTTGCTTAGCAGCACATCAAATGGTGGTGTGTGCCAACGTGGGGACTTTCGCAGTTCCTTGGACACTAAAACCAAAAAAAACCAAACGAACCCACTGCCATCAAGTCAGTTCTGACTCATAGTGACCCCAGAGGGCAGAGTAGAACTCCCCCATAAGGTTTCCAAGCTGTCAGTCTTTACAGAAGCAGACTTACTCTGTAGTGAGCTGTTGACTGCTGTCTGTACCTGTTTTCTCGACACACTCTGTCCTGTTCTAGGTACCTGTCCTGTTCTGTCATCCTTGTTGGGAGTAGTGACTAGCAGGGGCCATGAGGGGAGCTTCCAGGGTGTTAGAGATGTTTTCTTTCTTGATTTGGGTGCTGGTTAGCTGTGTGTGTTAAGTTTATGATGCCATACAGATTGACATGCACTTCTTCGCATGTGCTCTGGTGGCACAAATGGTTAAGCTCTCCTGTGGAGCAGCTAGGGTCTTCAGACTGCCAACCTTTTGGTTAGCAGCCTAGTGCTTTAACCACGTGCCACCAGAGCTCCTTTCCTTGAACACTAGGTTCTGATAATCTTGTGCTTAAAATCATAGGCTTTGCTTCAAGCAGATAGCTGCCCCCAATTTCTGTTTTTTTTTTTTAATTTGAATTCTTTAATTACAGCCTAATTGAGAGATAATTCACATGCTATATAATTTGCCTATTTAAAGAAGACAATTCAATAGGTTTTCGTATTTTCACACTGGTGCAGCCATCACCACAGTCAGGTTTAGAATATTTTCATCCCTGACCCCCCAAAAAAATCCTACACCCCATGGCAGTCATTCCTCTTCCCCCTTCACTTGCCTGCCCCCAGGCCCTAGTGACTACTGACCTACTTTCTGTCTCTAAGATTTACTGATTCTGGACATTTTGTATAAATAGAGTCATTTGAGGAAAAAAAAAAAAAAAATCACCATCAAGTCAATTCCGACTCATGGTGACCCCCTATTGGGTTTCTAAGGCTGCAAATCTTTATGGAAGTAGATTGCCCCATATTCCTTTCTAAGAGCTGCTGGTGGGTTTGAACCACCAACCTTCTGGTTAGCAGTCAAATGCCTTAGGCACTTTGCCTGAGTTCCTTAAATGGAGTCATTAGGTGATGCCTTTTGATACTTAGACACAGGTGCCCACGTTTGGCTAATGGAACCTGGGGCCCATAGACCGTGCCTATGCAGGCTAGAACAAAGCACCCCTTTCCTCTCAGCTGGTGGAGGAAGCCTTGAAAGATTGAGCCCCTCACCTGCCCCAGGCTTGGGCCAGCCAGTGCCCTGGGAGTCAGGCCTGTCTGTGATGGTCAAAGATCTTCTTGGGAGAAGTATGGCCCGTGGGCAGGAGCCCCAGACTAGGCTTTGGTGACTTTCCCCTGTGCCCTGCCCTCCACCCAGACAGTGCTTGACCCAAGGTGAGTCTCTTTCCCTGTCATGAGCCTCATTGTGTCGCCAGTAAAATGGGTATAATAATACCACATTTTATCGCATCTCAGATATCACAGTTTCTTAGATGTACTGTGTACACCATTGCTTGTGAGGTCAATTCCAATTTCAGAGATGTTAAAACATGGGGGGGAGGGGAAGAAAGATGTTCCATTTGGAATCAGTGAGCTCATGTTACACCTGGCCTGCTACAGAAGGTCGGTGTGCGGAGCCCACCTGAGATGCCAAGAAAGTTTAGAAACAATGCAGCTTCGGGGGTGGGTCTGCCTGCTGCGGCCCTGGTTCTGCGTTTAATAACATCAGCAGCAGTAGTAATACTAAGTCTACCAGCAGTAGTAGTGGCCGGGGTTGTGGATAGCCTCTGTGTCAGGCACCTCGTAAAGTCTTCCATATGGATTCTCCCGTTGAATCTGCTCAGTGACCCGAGGGAGCTATATGAGAATGTCAGCTCCAGGAGGACAGGGACTTTGTCTTGTGCCCTGTGCTACCTCCAGTGCCTAGAACAGGCCTTAGAATGTATTGCAAAAACTGAGGTACAGAGATAGCAGTCAACAGCTTACCCAAAGTCACTCAGCCAGGAAATAGGGTCAGGATTCAAACTTAGGCTACAAAGCCTGTGCTTATAAGCCCGTGCCTCTCTCTGAAGCCGTCCTCTGGGGCAGGGCTGCTCCTCTGGCAGGGAGGGGTCTCGCTGAGGCTGGGGGGCCAGTCCTTGTGACTCCTTTTTCCATCTACCTGTGGATCTTGTCAGGAGCTCTGGGGGCATACTGCCTAAGGCATTTGACAGCTAACCAGAAGGGTGGCGGTTCATACCCACCAGCCTCTCCTCTGAAGGAAAACTGGGAAGTCTACTTCCATAGTGATACCACCTCAAGGAGAGGTCACTATGAGTTGGAATCTACTCGACGGCAGTGAGTTTGGTTTTTGGTTTTGGTGGATCTTGTCATCCTCTGGGCCTGGGCTGGCTGATGGGGACCATGGGAGAGAATCCAGAGGCCCAAACAGAAAAAAAAAAGCAAACCCACTGCCATAGAGTCAATTCTGACCCTTAGCGATCCTATACGACAGAGTGGAATTGCGCTATAGGGTTTCCAAGGCTGTAAATCTTTTATTTTTTTTTTAATTTTTATAGTGATTTGGGTGAAAGTTTACAGAGCAAATTCATTTTCCACACAGTAGCTCACATATACTTTGTCTCATGACATTGACTGCAATTTCCCACAATGCAGCAGTCCCCCTCCTACTTCCCATAGTTACCTCTTCCCTGGGTCCTTCCCTCCTACGCACTCCTGCCCCCCGAGCTGTCTCCCTGTGCATACACAACCCTTCTATTCTCCCATGATTGTTCTCTCCAAGGAGTGTATCTACCTGATGTAAATGTTCAGCTCATAGGCCTGTCTTTTGTTTGGCTGGAAGCCACAGGAGTGGGTTCAGTTCCAGACCTGAAGGGCAGCTAGGGGCCATAGTCCCAGGGGTTCCACCAGGCTCTATCAGACCAGCAAACCTGGTCCCCTTTTTTTTTTTATGATTTTGAGTTTTGTCCCACATTGTTCTCCCACTCTATCCAGGATCTCCTACATAGATCCCCCTCCCAGTGGTTGACAGTGGTAGCTGGGCACTGTCTAGTTCTTCTGGTCTCAGTTGTATAGGCTGAGGATTACATGGTGTTATCAGTCCCTTGAACTAATTGTTTCCATGTGTCTTTGATTTTCGTTATTCTTCTTTGCTCTGCATGGGGAGAAACCCATTCTTGCATCTAGATGGCCACTTGCAAGCTTTTAAAAAGATCCCAGTCACTACTGGCCAAAGTGGGACATGGAACAGTGTTTCTGTGTAGCATGTTATGCCAACTGAGTCTCCTGTGACTGTGGTCAAGGCTGTAAATCTTAACGGAAGAAGAGTGCCTCATCTCTCTCCTGTGGAGCATCTGGTGGGTTCAAACTACTGAACTTTTGGTTAGCAGCTTAATGCCTTAACCACTGCACCACCAGAAGAGCTCCTTCCCAGGGCCCAGCTCCCTCAAGTCAGTCGTTGCCTAAGTATGTGTGACAGGTGCTGCAGACCAGGGCTCCTGCCGGGTAGGACAGGAAAGTAGGGAGAAGGGTGGTAGTTAAGCCCGCAGGACTGGGAGCTTGGCCTCTTATTAGTGGTATGTCCTGGGCTGAGTTGTTCAGCCTCTCCTGCCTCAGTTTCCTCATTGCAAAGTGAGGAGAGGAGATGCCTTAGTAGTGCTTAACTCACAGGATTGTAAAGAGGGCTTAGTTCTCTTCTACCGTGTGAAGCACTTAGCAGAGCTCGGCATAGATAAGTGTTTAATTTGTGGGAATGACTGTTGTTGTGGTTTTGCTGCTGCCGTTCACCACGGAGAATGATGTAACTCATAAGATCTGTCTAACTCCCCAGCCACGTCCGAGTGGATCCAGTTCTTTAAGGAAGCTGGCATTCCTCCGGGGCCTGCTGTCAACTACGCCGTGATGTTTGTGGATAATAGGTGAGGCGGCAGAGGGGACGGGGCCAAACTTGGGGATGGCGTGGAGGGCTGAGAGTGGGGAGGTGGGGAGCTGGCTGGCCCAGTCCACCCGGGTCCACTTGGGGCCTTACCGCTGGCCTTCTCCCTGCAGGATCCAGAAGAGCATGCTGCTGGATCTTAACAAGGAAATCATGAATGAGCTGGGCGTGACCGTGGTGGGTGACATCATCGCCATCCTCAAGCATGCCAAGGTGGTGCACCGGCAGGTGGGTGCTGCTGCCTGGCCCCTCTGTCTCTGGAGTTCAAGATAGAGGTAGGGGACAGTGACAGAGCTGGCTGGAGTCCTAGCAGCAAAGGCTGGCTGACCTGGGTTCCAGGGCTCATTCTGCCGTTTGCTGTGTGACATTAGACAAGTTGCTCTACCTCTCTGAACCTCACTTTCGCCATCTGTAAAATGTGGTGGTTCTGAGTGAAGTCTGAGTACAGCATAAACTGCCCTCTACTGAGGCCTCAGTAAAGGCTTTCTGTAACTATTATCATTACTGTATGATAAGGAGCTTTCAAAACATTTCGCTCCTAACCATAAGCAAGCGTCAGACAAACCCAAATGGGGGGACATTCCGTAAAATGCCTGGCCAGCATTCCTCAAAACTGTCAGAGTCATAAAAAACAACTGTCACAGATCAAAATACAACTAAGGAGACATGACGCAGACAGGCAATATGGATCTGGGTTTGGATGCTGGGACAAAAAGGACATTCGTGGAAAAACTGATGAAGCCCAGACAAAGTGAGTAGTCTACAGTCTGAAAGGGATCACAGTAGGAAGTGGTTATTGTCACCGAGACCTTCTCTGTCCTCAGGACGGGGACACCCTGTGGATGATCCCGATGGGGACTTGGCCAACACTGTGGCCCTTCCACTCCGGACTCCTCCACATGCAGCGATCTTAGACTCGTGATTTCACCTGGCTGAGTGTCAGTGAGTCAGGTTTTCCACCCTGGCTGCCACCCAGGGTGGGTGTGGCCTCTCATTGCACGGTGTACGTGGTGCTGGTGCCAGGCCTGGGATGATGTGTTTGTGAAGTGTAATAGCTGACACTTAACCAAATGCTTGCTGCCACTTGCCTGGCCCTATCTCCACCCTTTACACGTAGGAACTCATGTAGCCCACGCCCTCTGACCTCCGAGAAAGCTTACTCCAAGCTGTGTATTTCAAACAGCAGCTGCTATGGTGGTTCTTGTCAATTTCTGGATCTTCCTCCACCCCAGGAACAGTTCCTTCCTCTCCAGGGTCCCGTAATGAAGGCCTTCTTAGGCCAGGGACTTATCTCAGTTGTCACAGGGATGGTCACGGAGCAAAACATTTTCTTTAAACTTCTAAATTTTGGAATCATTTCAGATTTATAGAAAAGCTCCAGAAATGATACAGAGTTCTCCCATCCTCTTCATCCAGCTTCCCCTAACATTAACATGTTACATAACCATTGTACCTTTGTCAAAACTAAGAAGTTAATATCCTTACGCTGTTTTAAACTAGACTTTGTTTTTTACTTCTTACTGTGATTTGGGTAAAAGTTTACAGAGCAAATTGGTGTTCCATTCAGCAGTTCATACACATTCTGTTTTGTGACATTCATTGCAGTCCCCACAGTGTAACTGCGCTCTTCCCACTTCCTCCCTGTGGTTACCATTTCCCTTCATCCTTCGTTCCCATCCCTTCCTACCTTCTAAGCTTAATCCCTGGGCAAACCTGCCCTTTTGATTTCGAATGGTTGATTGTTCCGGACGGTGCGTATCTCCCTGGTGTTATTGTTTGTCTTATAGATCTGTCTGTCATTTGACTCAAAGTTGAACCACAGTGGTAAGTTCAGTGCCAGGCCTGAAGGCTATCTAAGGGCCGTAATCTTGGGGGTTTCGCCACTCTCCATCAGACCCATAAGCCTGGTCTTTTTATGATTTTGAGTTTCGTTTCACATTTTTCTTCCCCTCTAGACAGGACTTCCTGTTATGATCCCTTTCAGACTATAGACTACTGACTTTGTTTAGGTTTCATCAGTTTTTCCACGAATGTCCTTTTTGTCCCAGCATCCAAACCCAGATCCCACATTGCCTGTGTGTCATGGCTCCTTAGTTGTATTTTGATCTGTGACAGTTGTTTTTTATGATTTTGACGGTTTTGAGGAATACTGGCCAGGCATTTTACGGAATGTCACTCCATTTGGGTTTGTCTGACGCTGGCTTATGGTTAGGAGCGAAATGTTTTGAAAGCTCCTTCTCCAGCAGCACAGGCTCAGATGTGCTCCCTTCCCACCATGCCCCCATGCTGCTCAGCTCTCTGGGCCTCCAGTCCCCACCTCCCCCAGGCCTCTGCCCTCATGATAACCCAGGTGCCTGTTTTCCACAGGACGTGTGCAAAGCTGCCACTGAGTCGGTGCCCTGCAGCCCCAGCCCCCTCCCAGTGGAGATCCGCCGTGGCCCCTCCAGCGGTGAGTCACATCTGTTCGGTCAGCTTGCCTTCACGCTGCCCCGTCCTTCCACTCTGGCAGCGCAGGGACACCCCTGGTTGTCCCCGCCCACCTGTAGTTTGCGGAGGTAGAAGCAAAGCCATCTGAGACGTCTTCTCTGAGGGAAAACGTAAGCTGGGTAGTGAGCTGAGTAGTGCCTGACTTATGATGGGGTTCCATTCCAATGACTGCCATAAGTCAGTTCTGACATAAGTCTAATACCTCTCGTAGATGGGCCCTTGCCTCTTCTTTGTTAAAATCATTGATTTTATGCCAGTTGCTCCTTTAACTGCCTCCAAAATCCTATTTTTAGCCTTAATGATTGTCGAAACGGTTGAAGGAGACAATCCTTCCTCCCATACTAGTCTGCCAACTTTTTTTCACAATCACAGGCCTTAATGAGCTTCATCTTTATAGCCACGTCTAAAGCCTTACTTCACCTTCTTTTTTGGATTAGAACTTTCAGTTGTGTGTCTTCTTCGTTGGACGTAGTGAAGCTGTGAGCAGTACGAGTGTTACAGTTAGAGAATCTTGAACAGCTCAGCTCCAGACTAACAACGGTTGCTTCTGATGGTAGGAAACGCTGAGTAAGATCACGCGGTAGGCCTGTGCTACAGTGAAGCTGGCTTCCGTGTCGTAACAGTGAAGTCGAGTTTAATGACTGTCGGGTGCATTAACACCTGACATGATGTGTTGTGTGCATAACAACACACAACATTGTTGTGTGTCATTAGGGCTGAACATCGCCCAACTGTCTGTCCATTACGACTCTCAACACTGATGCTGATGAGGCCGTATCCTGCTATACGGCAGTGTTTTGAACAGTAAATCATGAAACTGAACATCTGTGAGTGAACATGTGAGAGTGATGGCAGGAAATGATAGGCTGTGACACTGTGCATAGTATGTATAACTAATGATAAGATGTGCCAAAAAAAACCCCAAAAAAAGGTGGTTGTAAATGTGTTTTTTCCCAACTTGAGTGTGTGGTAAGCTAGGGGGCTATCTGTACCTGTGTCTGTGCCTTTGTTTTTATTAACACTGTAATACCTTATAGAGCCCCTGGGTGGCACAGTGGTTTAGTGCGTGGCTGCTAACTGAAAGGCTCACGGTTTGAGTCCCCCAGAGGTTCCCCAGAATGGCTTGGGGGTCTCACGGTGAGTCAGGATCAACTTGATGGTGGCTGGTTTGCTTTTGGTTTGGATGATACTTTATGTTTTTGAAGTAAACTTAAAATAGAACGTACATGTTAGTCAATCTTTGCTGCTTGACAGCTACTGTCAAGTCGCCTGCGATTCATGACGACCCTATGTGTGTCAGAGTAGAACTGTGCTCCATAAAGTTTGCAGTGGCTGATTGTTTGGGAATTAGATTGCCAGGCCTCTCTTCCCAGACATCTCTGAGTGAAGTCAAATCACAGCCTTTGGGTTAACAGCTGAGCATAGTAACCTTGCACCACCCAGGGACCACTGCTGCTTCACAAGCCATGTACCAAACCCGGGCTGAAAGCCCAGATGTTTATTTCTCCTGATTTTGTAGGTTGGCTGCTCTTGGCCAACTCAGCTGATCTCTGTGGTCAGCTGACACCTCAGCCAACTCAGTTGATCTCTGTGGTCAGCTGACACCTTGGTTGAGGCTGGGCCATCTAGGGTGGTCTCACTGATGCATCTGGTGGTTGACTTGATGTCCTCTGGGACAATGGGGGTTACTTGGCTACGTGTCTCCCATTACCCAGCAGGATTGCCTGGGTGAGTTCACATAGTGGTGGTTTCAGGGCTCCCCAAAGCAGCACAAGAGGGCAGGCCCCACAGTGCAAAGCACTTTCTAAGCCTCTGCTTGCTATACTTAGTACGCTTACTTACTTACTTATTTACACTTACTTAGTACACTTGCTGTTGTACTATTGGCCAAAGCAAGTCATGTGGCTGTGCCCAGAGTCAATGCGGGCAGGGCCTACCCAAGGGCAGTGGGTATGAGGAGGCTGAGCAAATTGGGGTTCACTTCTACCACCGTCTCCCACATGTACACACAGAAAAGGCTTCAGGTCATAACAGTACAGCCAGATGACTCTTCCAGAGAGCACCCAGGAAACCAGCATCCAAATCCAGAAACGGAAACATGACCAGCTCCTGAAGCCCCCTTGTCCTCCCCTAGCCACTACCCCTCTCCTGGGTACTCACTGTCCTGATTTTTAACAGCATCATCAGTTCTTCCAGTCTTTCAGTTCAATACAAATAAAATTAGGTAGTATGTCCTTTTCATACCTTTTTGGGTGTCTTTAATAGTTTAAAATACACTTTAAGGATTAAAACAAAAAGATCAACTAGTGGAAAAAGTAGGCAATTAAGGCAAACAGGGGAAAAAGGCAAAGGACGGAGTGGGAAAGAGTGCCCTAAAAATAACACGTGGGATGTGGCCACTTGTAAAAACTTCATGATGTTGAACGTGTGCGTCTGTGTGCGGGGAGAAACAAGCAATGTACTACACATGTTTTCACAGGGAAAAATAAGATGCTACATGTGTTTTCACACGGAAGAGCAACATACTATATGTTTTCCCAGAGAACGGTTCTTTGCACCCTGACATCCTGACTAACTCATGGTCAGTGAGACACAGTCAGAGTTGATGGTGGTCCCTCTGCCCAAACAGCGTTCAGCAGAGCCTGATCACGCCCTGATCTCTTTCAGGCAAGACAGCTGGCAGCATGCGCAGTACACGGGGGGCAGTGGTGCGTCAGTGGAAGAGTCCTCTCCTTTCACATGAGACCCAGGTCTGATGCTCGGCCAGTGCGCCTCGAGCCCAGCCACCATGGGTCTGTCAGTGGAGGCTGGCACGGGGCTGTGATACCGAACAGGTTTCAGAGCTTCCAGACTAAGGCAGATGAGGAAGAAAGGCCTGGGATCTGCTTCTGAAACCAGCCAGGAAAACCCAGTGCACCAGGCAGCATCTGGGTCCGTCATGCACGGCCTTGCCACGAATCGGGGGCTGACTCGGCAGCAGCTGGCAACCGCCACCACAACAACAGTGCAGTAGGCAGGAGCCTCTCAACTGTTTACCCTGTGTCTCGGTTCTCTAGTGCTGCTGTAACAGGCATGCCACGAGTGGGTGGCTTTAACAAACAGGAATTGATTCTCTTACAGTCCAGGAGGCTCAAAGTCCAAAGTCAGAGTGCCAGCTCTAGGGGCTGGGTGAAGGCCCCTCAACCTTGACCAACAGCCCTGCCTCCTATTCTAGGCCCACTGGAACTGGAGGCTTCTCCTAACTCAGGCAGCTGCTCTCTGCTGAGGCTGATGCACCCAAGGTCGGCAAGCAGAATAGCACAATCCCAAGATCAACATGCACACAGCAGGCCACTGGTTCAAGTCCGGATTAATCCCCAAATCGGCAGGCAACATGGCGGGCCGCTGGATGAAGACTTGGCCAAATGTAAGCGTGCCAAAAAGCTGGAGACTTTGCTCAAAACTTCTGGAAGCAGGCCACCCCCCAAAGGCAGCCCTCTTCCCGTTGATTATTATCTGACAGCAGATTCCACCATGGAGGTGATTACAGTCTCATCATGGGGAGTAACTACATCCAGCTGCCCAGCCACTCAGAACCAGGACCCAGACAAGTTGACTCACAACCTTGACTACCACACCTTGTATAGCAGAAGATCCCAGTCGTGTGCACTTGGCTAGTGCCGTGAATGGAGGCTGTTGGAGGAGAAATTCTACACAGCGACTAGTTAGAAAGCCACCCCTGTCCCAAGTAAGGATTCCCTGGGTGGTCCAAACAGTTATCACACTCTGCTTGTAACCAAAAGGTTGAAGGTTCAGGTCCAGGCAGAGGAGCTTGGGAAGGAAGACCTGGTGATCTGCTTCTGAAAATGAGCCCCTGAAGCCCCTGTGGAGCACTTCCTACTGTGACACCCCTGGGGCCCCCACGAGTCGGGCAGAGTGGACTCAACAGCAGGAGCTGGTGTGGCGAGCCCACTTCAGGAGCGAGCATATGAGGAAATCTCTCCGGAAGTTGTTGAGGAACATGTACCAAATCATTAGTGGGAGGGTGCAGGGGTGAGGAATGAGCGCCTCCTCCTGAGGGGAGGGAGGAGAGATGGCCCACGAGCTGGTGTGGTGATGTGGGGGTTCACTCTGCGTTTTGGTTCTCTAGTGTCACTTTGACAGACATACCACAGATGGGTGACTTGAACAAACAGGAATTTATTCTTTCACAGTCTAGGAGGCTAGAAGTCCAAGTTCAGAGTGCCAGCTCCAGGGGCTGGCGGAAAGCCCCTCAACCTTGGGCTTCAGCTCTGCCTCTTGCTCCCAGCCCACCGAAGCTGGAGGCTTTTCTTAACTTAGGCAGCTGCTGGCGGCCGAGGCTGACAAGCCCAAGGTTGACAAATAAGATGGCACCGTCCCAGTATTGCCAAACAACATGGCAGGCCACTAGTTCCAGTCCAGAAACAGTCTCAAGATTGGCAATAAACATGGCAGGCTATTGAATGAAGACTAGGCTACATGTCTAAATGCTCTAAATGTGGCAATAAGATGCAGAGACTTATTTCTCAGCACTTCTCCTTATATACTGGAAGAGCAGACCACATCCCTAAGGCAGCTACTCAGCTGCTCCAATGGATTCCACCGTAGAGCTGATTACCAGACTCATCGTGGGGAATAACTACATCCAGCTGCCCAGCCACTCAATCAGGCCCAGCCAAGTTGACACACAATTAACACATTCTGTGTGATCTTTTGTTAAATTGTATGTGTAGGTTTAATATATTTTTCTCTGTGCTACAGTTATAATTAAAAGAAAACCTAGCAACATGAAATTATAATAATGTATTAAGGGTCGTTTGAGGAGCTCTGATGGCACTGTGGTTAAGGCATTGGGCTACTAACCACAAGGTTTGTGGTTCGAACCCACCAGTGGCTCCATGAGAGAAGGACAAGGCAGTCTCCTTACGTAAGGATTTACAGCCTTGGAAACCCTACGGGGTTCGCCATGAGTTGGAGTCAGCTCCATGGCAGTGGGTTTGGTTTTTTGGATGGGGACTTCAGAGGACACACAATAGGGAAAGGGGAGATTTTTTTTTAGAAGGAAGATGGAGCAAAATGTCCAAATCTGGAAGTCTGGCTGGCATGTGCTGATACTGGCCAGCAAGCAAAGATAGCGTGAACACGCCCCCTTCCCTCCCCTACAGGGGTTCCCCAGCAAACCCATACCCTGACGCTAGCAGCAGCTGCACCTGAGACAAAGCCCACCTCCTCCCTCACTGGGGTTGGGTGTCCCGAAGTGGCTTAGGTGCTGCAGTTCCAGCCGCTCACCTGGGCCCTCCCTGAGGGATGTGATGGGGGTCTTCGTGACCCCTCCTCCCACTCCCCAGAGAGTGAGGGGTGCCAGAAACTGCCCACCCATTCATGAGGGAGGCCACCTCTTATTTTGCCCCTGCCTGACTGGAGCTAGACCCACACTGCTCCTCTGCCGCTGAGTGACCGGCTCCCTGAATCCCAGTTTCCTTGTGTGTAGAGTGGGTCTACAGCAGATCCTCTCTAATAAGAGTGTTGGGAGATTTCAGCGTCCTGTGCTGTTTATCCGCTTACTGATGTTTACTGATGATCCTCTTAAGTGCCAGAAACCATTTTAGGCTCCGGGCTACAGCAGTAAACAGATGGCTCCTCACACAGCTTACATTCTTATGGGGGAGGCCACCAATAAATAAGGAAATGTGACTTACTGTCCAGTAAAAACTAAAACTCACTGCTGTCGAGTCAGATCTGACTCATAGTGATCCCTCCTTGGGTTCCCGAGGCAGTATCACTACAGAAAGTAGATTGCTCATCTTCCTTTCTGGAGTGGCTGGTGGATTTGAACCGCCAACCTTCTGGTTAGCAATCAGATGCCTTAGGCACTGCATCACCAGAGCTTGGTGGTAGTAAAGGTAGTGAAAAAGTCATGTGGGGTAACGGTGCTAGAGGTGGCTCGGGTGGTCAGGGGTCAGGGGAGTTTGGCCTGAGGAGGTGCTGTCTGAGAATAGACCGGAACGAGGAGACAGCGAGCCTGCTGGTATCTCAGGGAAGTGTGTTCCATGCAGAGGGACAGCCAGTGCCCTGAAGAGGCACGTGCTTGCTGGGGAGGAAGATTGAGGAGAGCAGTGCGGCTGAAGCAGAGGGCGAGGACAGCGGTGAGGCCGGAGGAGTCAGGCACAGGAAGGGCTCAGTGTGACCCGAACCAGTCTGGTCAAGGACCTTGGGAAAGGCCCTTCCAGCAGGGAGGGGTAGGCTAATTGCTGGGAAAACTAAGCCACCCCCCCAAAGGGTGACACCACAGTGTGACACCAGCCACCCCTCCCCTACTCAGCCTAATGGCTCCGTACTGACCCTACAACTGCTGGAGCCTGGTTTCCCGCCCAGGGCCCTGTGTGATGGGACTCCTCTTTCCTCCCCCCAGCTGCCTCGCGAATGATCGCCAACAGCCTGAACCGCGACTCCCCACCCAGCACTCCCCCCAGGCGGCCAGACACCAGTACCTCCAAGATCTCCGTCACTGTGTCCAACAAGATGGCGGCCAAGAGTGCCAAGGCTACAGGTACGAGGTCTCAGGCGGGTGGTGGGGAGAGGCTCAAGGTGATGTGACGTGAGGTACTTGGGGCTCATGCTCTTTACATTCCAAGGTGCTTTGAAGGCCAAGGTGAACAGAGTGTTTGGATTTGAATCAACTCTGTGAACTTGGTCAAGTCACTGCCCCTCTTTGGGCCTTTCTTCCCTTGTCTCTGAACTGAAGGGTGGGGATGCCTTGCCCAAGAGGGTAGTTAGAAACCCTCCAGGTGGTGTAAACTCATGTGCATTCAGTGTAGCTCAGTCTTTTTAAACAAAGGTTTATTGGGCCCCACATGGGAGCCCGGCTCTGTGCCTGATGCCTGGGGTCAGAGGTGAAGAAGCTACTACTTCTTCTCAGCATCCCCAGGAACTCTTTCAAACTTTAAATCTGACCATACCTGTAATTTGGTGGCATCAGGCCTCATCTCTTGAAGAGGAGGGAAGAAAATCAGCCCAAAGCTGATTCCTATGAGGTGAAGGTCAAACAAAACTCCACTTTGCAAATTTTTCACCATTTCTGACACCAGCCAGCCTCCCCACGGCTCTGTTTCTCTTCTGGGTTTGATTATTCATTGCAGTGACCACACAGACCCACGGACCATACTTCTGATTATGTGGTTTATTAAGGAAGTAATAGGCTATAACCTTGAATCAGAATTAATGCCAAAGTTGGAAGTAACAGAAATAACTCAGGAAACACAGGATACAGTTCATCTGTCAGGACAGCTTCCAGCCAGGACAGCTCTCACGCAGCTCCTCAGCTATGCCTGCAGTCAGGCTGTTCAGGTTTCCTAGTGTCACTCTGGCAGAAACATACCACAAATGGGATGACTGAACAAACAGGAGTTTATTCTCTTACAGTTTGGAGGCTTTAAGTCCGAGTTCAAAGTGCTAGGCTCTAGGGGCTGGGTGAAAGGCCCTCAACCTTGGGCTTCAGCTCTGCCTCCTGCTCCCAGCCCACTGAAGCTAGAGGCTTTTCTTCACTCAGACAGCTGCTGGCTGCTGAGACTGACAAGCCCAAGGTTGACAAGTAGAAAGGCACAGTCCTGATGTTACCAAACTACATGGCAGGCCATTAATTCAAGTCCATTATAAGTCTCCAGGTTGGCAGAGCATGGCAGGCTGCTGAACAACGACTCAGCTACATGCAGGGTTCAAGCATGCCATAAGCTAGAGACCATTCCCAAAGCTGCTTCTTATATACTGGAAGCAGACCACATCCCTAAAGCAGCTACTCAGCTGCTCCAACACATTCCACCATGGAGTTAATTACCAGTCTCACTATAGAGAATAACTACATCAGCTGCCCAGCTACTCAACCAGGCCTGACCAAGTTGACACACAAACTTAACTACCACACAGGCTGTGCTTCTCAGCAGGGCTAGCCTCCTCTCACCCGGTCTAGTAAGCACTTCTCTTGGTCATGTTAGCCTCCTCTTGGCCTCTGCCCTACTTGGTAAGTGTTACAGCTCTTTAGCTCCATCAACAAGGGCTGGACGCACCCCATTCTGCCAGTAAGCCTCCTGCCCCAAGGTGCTCAGCTCTCTTGCTTCTCGGGCCAGCAGGCCCACTGTTGCTGTCTCACACGAGTCTCCTGGTGCCTGCCACCACTGTGCTGTCTCACGTCATCTGCAGTGTTACTGCTCTTTCCATCTCCTGGGGTCTGGTGGCATAGTGCCTAAGGCATTTGACTGTGAACCAGAAGGTTGGCTATTCAAACCCACTAACCACTCCACGGAAGGAAGACTGGGCAACCTACTGCCATACAGATTTACCGCCTCAGAGACCCAAAGGAGGTCGCTGTGAGTCGGAATCGACTCAATGGCAGCGAGTTTGGTTTTTTTGGCGTGGAGTCTAGGAGGTTTTCACTTTAGGGACCCTGGGTGCAAAGGAAGTGCTCTACTCCAGGCTCTTCCTGATGGTAGTAAGGTCCCCCTCGGCCTCTCTGGGATTGGCTCTTTAATAATCATGCTCCTTTCACCAAGACCATGAACTGACCAATGCTCTCAGTAGGACATAGTCACCTAATTTTCTTAGCACAATTTACATACCTTATTTGCATAATAAACCATGCAGTCCTTTTGCCCGATTGCATCCTAGCCAATCATCTTGGCAGATCTCCAAAGCCGGAGCCAGAAAGGCCATCTAGAAAGAGAAACCCATTGTATTACACCATCACATCCTTATGTCTAACCCTCTAGGGCTTCCCATGGCTGTAACGATAAAGTCCAGACGCCCCGTAGGGCTTTACAGTACCCTGCGTGACACAGCCTCCCCTCGTATGTCTCCCCTTGCCCGCCAGCTCAGCTCCTGTCCAGGCTTCTGTCTTCCCGTGCGGCCTTTGCCCCTGCAATCCACACCTGGAGTGTTCTTCCCCCTTGGTCCTTTGCATAGTCTCAGCTTGAAAGCTGGGAATAGAAGTCGGCCTGTGGGCTCCCCAGCCCCCTCCACGCACTCGTGCCTTTGCTGGACCTGTCCCCTCCACCACCATCTTGTGATGTTGGTAAGGCACACGCAGAGGGAATGTGAGGCCCAGGAAGCAGCTATGCTTTTCGGCTGCCCTGTCCCACACTGTTTGCCGCCATCAGACAGTCTCCCCTTTGGCTTGTGTGTCTGGAAGTGCCTCACCCCTTATAGCCTTTTGCATTTGTGCCATGAGCAAGAATAAAATAGAATAATGTTGCTGTTGTTGTCGTCGTTAGGTGCTGTTGAGTTGAGTCCCACTCGTACCGACCCATTGAACAACAGAACGAAACAGTGCCCTGCCTGCGCCAGCCTCACAGTCAGTGCTGGGTGTGAGCTATTACAGCCGCCGGGGCAGTCCATTCAGTAAGGCTTTCCCCTTTTCTGCTGACCTCTGCCTTCCCAGCATGCTCTTCCTCACCAGGGTCTGGTCCCTTCTGATAACACGTCCAAAGTGTGTGAGACGAAGTCTCGCCATGCTTGCTTCTAAGGAGCATTCTGGCTGTGTTGTTGTTGTTATTGTTGTTGTTATGTGCCATCGAGTCAGACCCGACTCATAGTGACCCCTCCTTGGGTTTCCGAGGCATTATGACTATGGAAGTAGATTGCCCAACCTTCCTTCTGAGGAGCGGCTGATGGGTTTGAACCACTAGTCTTCCGGTTAGCAGTCAAGTGCCTTAGGCACTACACTACCAGAGGCTGTTTTTCCTCCTTTTTTTTTCCCCCTGGCTGTACGTCCTCCAAGACAGACTTGTTCATTCGTCTGGTGATCCATTGTATATTTAATGCTCTTTTCCAGCACTGTAGTCTAAAGGCATCAATTCTTCTTTGGTCTTCCTTATTCATTGTCCAGCTTTCACATGCATAGGAAACGACTAAAAATACTATGGCTTGCATTAGGCGCACCTCCATCTTCAAACTGATGTCTTTGCTATTTAACACTTTAAAGAGAGATCTTTGGCAGCAGATCTGTCCAGTGCAATTCATCATTTGATTTCTTGACTGCTGCTTCCATGGGTGTTGATTGTGGATCCAAATAAAATGAAATCCTTGACAACCTCAATCTTTTCTCTATTTATTGTGATGTTGCTTATTGGTCTAGTTGTGAGGATTTTTGTGTTGAGGTGTAATCCATGTGGAAGGCTGTAGTCTTTGACCTTCATCAGTAAATGCTTTAAGTCCTCTTTGCTTTTAGCAAGTAAGGTTGTATCATCTGCATATCACAGGTTATTAATGAGTCTTCCTCTAATCCTGATGCCGTGTTCTTCTTTGTATATCCAGCTTCTTGGATTATTTGCTCAGCAGATAGCTTGAGTAAGTATGGTGAAAGGATACAACTCTGGCACATACCTTTCCTGATTTGAAAACACTCACTATATCCTTATTCTGTCATACAGCCTCTTGGTCTATGTCCAGGTTCCGTGTGAGCACAGTTAGGTGTCGTGGGACTCCCATTCTTCATAGTGTTAGCCATAAATTGTCATGATCCACACAGTTGAAGGCCTTTGCGTAATCGACAAAACACAGGTAACCATTTCCCTGGTGTTCTCTGCTTTCAGCGAAGATCCATCTGACATCAGCAGTGGTACCCCCATTCCATGTCCTCTTCTGAATGCAACTTAAATTTCTGGCAAGAAATTGATATATAAAATAGTAAAAAGATGATGAGCCTGGAGGGACTGGCTCTCTTACACCTTGGTAAACTTGAAGAGATTCTTTTTTTTTTATTTAATTGAGAATTTTATTTATGCACGTTGTTCAAATTGTAAGTTTACAGCTTGGTTAATTCTGACAAAGTGAACACACCCATGAGACCATTGCCTAGACAGAGCTCTAGAATCACCCAACAGGTGAGGGGATTCTGGCTGCACAGGGGGTGAGCCACAGGGAGTCTGGGGGTCTTCTGTGACCTTTCCTTCCTCAGACCTCTGAGCTTTTCAGTGGTCCCAACTCAGGGTGTGGTGGTTGGGAAGGTGAAGGATTCCAATCCTGGTGGAGAGAAAGGGCTCAAGTGTGTCCTTTGCCTGGTGTCCGGCCCCCACCTGGCAGAACATTCTGTCCCAGAGGGTGCTGACCCTCCCTGCCTTCCTCCCCAGCAGCCTTGGCCCGCCGGGAAGAGGAGAGCCTGACTGTTCCCACCAAGCGGCGCCGGGTCACTGCGGAGATGGAGGGAAAATACATCATCAACATGCCCAAAGGCACCACCCCCCGGACCCGCAAGATCCTGGAGCAGCAGCAGGCAGCGAAAGGTACTGGCCCACCAGGGCAGACTTTGGGGCTGTTGATAGGTGCCGGCAAGTCAGCTCTGACTCATAGTGACCCTGTGTACAACAGAACAAAACTGCCCCGTCATGTGCCATCCTCACAATCCTTGTTATACCTGAGCCCATCATCGCAGCCACTGTGTCAGTCCATCTCGTTGAGGACCTTCCCCTTTCTCGTTGACCAGAGAATGGTCCCTTCTGACAACATGACCAAAGTAGGTGAGATGAAGTCTGGTCGTTCTTGCTTCCAAGGAGCATTCCGGCTGCGCTTCCTCCAGGACAGATTTGTTAGTTCTTCCGACAGTCCGTGGTATTTTCAGTATTCTTCGCCAGCACCACAACTCAAAGGCATCAACTCTTTTTCAGTCCCTTTGGGGTAGAGATTGCATTTCTTTCCTGCTGCTTCACAGGGTTGCTCACAGCTGATAGGTGTTGACTCTGATGTGAGGGTCTCAGGGGACCTTGGGCCAAGGGGGTACCATGGTGGCTGTAGGGGAAGGGGACATGTCACCTTTGCCCCCTCATCCTGCAGTAAGTGTAGCTAGACCGCTCAGTGCCTCATTTAGTGCCTCTTTCCCAAGGGACCGGGATAGGAATGCAGTGGGGTCCTGCCTGCAAAGCACCCCAAGCAGGTGCCCAGAAAGTAGGAACTGTCATTATGAACCTGAGGGGTCTGGTTGAGACCCGGACCAAAGCTGGAGTTTTGTGACAGGGGCAACATAGATGGCCTTCCCAGCGATGGGGTCAGTATGGAATGTGTGTGTGTTCCTGGGGACAAGCAGTCAGATGACGCAGAAACATGCACAGTACAAACAAACGTTTCTCTCACGCCCCTGTCCCATGCCTGCTGTTAACCTTTGTAGATCAGCACCTATGAGCTGATACACACCAATTCCTATGTTACACATGGATAGTGTCTGTTTTTTCTTAAATAACATCTTCCTATAGGTATTTTTGTGTAATTTTAGAATTTATTTAGCACGTCTTAAGGTCTTTTCATGTTAGTGTGTGTAGAACTACTTCATTCTTTTTTATACATTTTTGTAAAGATGTAGATAACATACCAAAACCCAACTCTGACTGAATTGTACACGTGAAAAATGTTGACTGGTAAATGTTGGTATGCATGTATGCACAGAACATTTACCAATTCAACATTTCTCATGTGTACAATTCTCTACTTCATTCTTTTTAATGACTCCTTCATATGTCCATGATATTCATGTACCTTAATTGATTAAACATTCTCCTCCTAATAGAGATTTTGTTTGTTATCGTCCATGAGTTTCTCAGAGGTCCGTGACCCGAAATGGAGTGAGAGGAGCCAGTGGGGAGTAAGAACTCCCCTGTGCGCACACACTTCATGACTTGGGCATAAACTAAAACCTAACTCACTGCCATTGAGGTGACTCATAGCAACCCCCTTTGGGTTTCTGAGGTGGTAAATCTCTACAGAAGTATCAGTATTCCTTCCAAGGAGTGGCTGGTGGGTTTGAACAGCCAACCTTCTGGTTAGCTCTCAAATACCTTAGACACTACGCCACCATAGCTCCTTGACTTGGGCTTACTTGGGTATAAAGGATTTAAGTGTCCATTTTAGCTGATACTTCCCAGATGTGACATTAGCTACATGCATGTTGGTCAAAGTTAATGTCAGCCAAGCATGTAGACACAGAAGCTGCGTGTGCTCGTGCAGGGCTGGCGGGTCTGAGGCTGGCTGTCCATCCCCTCCATTGGCATCTCCGCAGGGTGCCCTTGGCCGCTTGGCGGATGCTGGCTAATTGCCTCACTTCCTTCCCAGGTCTCCACAGGACATCTGTGTTTGACCGCCTTGGCGCCGAGACCAAGGCAGACACAACAACAGGGAGTAAGGTGAGTTGGAAATGGGGGAAGGGATTTGGGGCTCTAAAACTCATGTCCTCCCAAGTTCTCGTCATCCCCTCTCCTTCACGCAGGCCGCCTCTCACCCCTCATTCCTCCGGGGCTGTCTCTGCTTAGTTCCCGTCTCTGCACCAGCCATTCTCCATCTGTCTTCTGCCCCTAGCTCTCTCCCAATCTCCAGATTCCTGAACATTTACTCCTGGATGTCCCTGGGTCCCTCACACTCTGTGTCAAACTGACCTCAGCGTCCTCCCCCAAGCCTGTTCCTCTCCTGGGCCCCATCTCGGGGGTGCCCCACTGTCTGCGTTCCAGTCCCTCACCAAATCTGATAACTGTTTATCTCTACCTTCTCAGCCACCCCCTCCACCCCCTTTGAAGCCTCCCTCTCCTCTGGCCTGGATGCAGTGTGAGCTACCAAACTGCCCTCCAGCTGCGCAGGCCTCCAGCCTTCTCCACCCACACCACGCGGCTGCCCGCAGGGCTCACCACGCTCCCTGCAGAGAGCCCCCGAGGCTCCTCACTGTGCTCAGGTTCAAGTCCACCCTTCCAGCCTTGGCTGAGGGTCCTGCAGGCCCAAGGCCCGGAGGTGTGGTTAGGACACACACCCTGGACTCAGCTACCCAGGCTGGCCCTGAGGCCTTGGCTCCTTGCACCTTAGTTCTGCATCTGCAGGACCCACCCAGTAGGACACACGTGAGGACTAGGTGATGTAAGGCCCTGTGGGGGCTGGGCAGTGGCGTGTAGTCAGCATCTTTATTGTTTTTTAATTTTTATTGTGATCTGGGTGGAAATTTACATTGCAAATTCATTTTCCATACAGTAGTTCATGCATATTTTGTTTCATGGCATTGACTGCAAATCCCCACAATGTAACAGCTCTCTTCCCACTTCCTTCCTGTAGTTACCTCTTCCTTGTATCCTTCTTTCCTATGCATTCCTGCCCCCTGAGCTATCTCCCTATGCAAATACTGCCTTTCTGTTCTCCCATGATTGATCATTCTGAGGAGCATATCTACCTGATGTAAATGTTCACCCTGTATGCCTGTCTGTTGTTAGGCCGAAAGCATCTATAAATTTATCACTGCTGCAAAAAGGGCTTTGGGTAGTGTCTTCTGACCTCCTCTAATTTCACAAGGGGAAGACAGAATCACCATCAGCAGCCTAAGGCTTTTTCCTGTGAGGCCAGAAATGGTACCACTAGCATATGCTCAGCCTTTTTACCAATTCTTACACCAGCCATTCCTCCCACAGCACTCGCTACTTCTCTGCTGAGTTAGATGATTCGTTGCAGTGGCCACACACAACTCACAGACAATACTCATGGTTATGGGGTTTATTAAGGAAGTGACAGGCTGCAATTCAGGTTCAGGAACACTCAGGTACAACTCTTTGATCAGGACAGTCTCCCTTCTGCTCTGCCCCCAGGCATACCTCTCTGCCCCTTGGCTTCTCAGCCTGGCCTCTGCCCTGTTCAGGCAAGTGTTACCAAGCTCTTTTAGCTCTGCCAACAGGTATACCTACATGTACCCCACTCTCTCAGCAAGTCTCCTGCTCCATGGGCCGGAAAGCCTGCTGCTCCGTCTCCTGCCTCTTGGCTCCATGTTGCCATCTCTCACCCCGTCGTCTCTCTCTCAGTTGGACGTCTCTCAGCCAAGGAGGTCCCATGCAGGGATCTCGGGTCCAAAGACTCACTCCACTTTACCTCCAGCTCTTCTCTCTTGATGGCAGTGAGATCCCCCTTTCTGCCTCTAGGACCAAAAAAAATAAAATAAATAAATAACCAAACTCACTGCATGGCGACTCCTTGGGTTTCCGAGGTGGTATCTCTTGGGAGTAGATTGCCCAGTTTTCCTTCCAAGGAGTGGCTGGTGGGTGTGAACCACCAGCCTTCTGGTTAGCAGTCAGATGCCTTAGGCACTACACCACCAGAGCTCCATATTTTGCTTCTAGGAAGGCTCATTTTAAGCCTGGCAGAGTGATAAAACTAACTAATCCCAACATCAGACTTCTGTACTCCTTATTTTCATGGTTCCGCCCGGTAATCTGGTGGGAGTTACAAAGACGTGGCTAGAAAAGCCATATCAAGTAATGCGAGCCTCCAGCCGTGTTCCTACCTCTCAACCCCTCATCCACGAATGTTCAATCACTCTGGCTTTTTCTCATTTCCTGGAATCTTAGCCTGATATTAACACCAGGGTCATGTAGTTTGAGGATCTAGCTACGTAAAGAGCTTGGCACAGGCTGAGCGCTCAGTAAATAGAATTCTTCTTCCTGCCTTTTCTCTGCTTGCTTAAGTCAGTGCCTCAGAGAAGGCTTCCCTGAACCCAGTTAGAGACCAGGCTTTCCTGTGTCCTGTTCACCAGCACTCTGTTCTCCTTCATACAGTGGGCCTGTTGTCATGACAGAATCGTGTCATTTCTAGTGGCCTGCCTCCCCCAGTGGATTCAAAGCCCCACAGGGCGGGCCCAGGGCTGTCTCGGTCACCACTGTGTCCCCAGTGTGGGGCCAGCTACAGAATTGGGACTCAATATTTATTGTTGAATGATCAAATTAATCTTTTCACGTATGTCCACTTCTTAAAAAAAAAAAACAAAAAACACTGCCATCAAGTCAAGTCTGACTCAGCAATCCCCATTGGGTTTCCAAGACAGTAAGTCTTTACAGAAGTAGATTGCCTCATCCTCCTCCCACCAAGCAGCTGGTCGGTTTGAACCACTGACCTTCTGGTTAGCAGCCAGATACCTTACCCACTGTACCACCGTGCATCTTTGTCTACTTCTAGAGCTTTTCAAATGATGTTCCCTCTGCTTGGCACATTCTTTCTCCTTCCCCTCTTTATTAAACTCACTTCCATATAGCTTTCTGGTATCATCTGTGATGTCCCCTCTTCCAGGGAGCCTTCCCTGATTTCCCAGGCCGGCTCAGTCATTTCCTCCCCCATCATAGTTCTGACTACTTTCTGGGGTGTCACTAATGGCTGTTTTTCCCAGCTGTGAGTTCTGGGAGGCCTGGACTTGGTCTTTCTCAGTCACTGCTGTGTCTCCCACTGTGAGGCCAGGCACAGAGGAGGCAGCTCTCTGTGAATGCGTGTTGAGTGACTGAGTGACTCACCTGTCCTCTCCCTGACCCCACAGCCCACAGGAGTCTTCAGCCGCCTGGGGGCCACCCCAGAGATGGACGAGGATCTGGCTTGGGACAGTGACAATGACAGCAGCAGCTCTGTCCTCCAGTATGCCGGGGTCCTGAAGAAGCTGGGTCGCACTCCAGCCCAGGCCAGTCCCCCGCCAGCACTGACTGTCAAAGCCAAGGCCACCAGCTCGGCAACTACAACTGTCACCCCGACGCTGCGGCGCCTGGCACTTCCCCCACGTCCCGGGCTTGAGAAGAAGCCAGAGTCCCTGTCCAAAGTCAGCATCATCCAGAGACTGGGCAAGACCGCCCTTGTGCCCGAGGCCCAGGACAGCCAGGTCACGAGCACCAAGAGTAAGTCCTCGGCCGAGGTCAAGGTCACCATTAAGAGAACTCTGGTGGGGCCCCGGGGGAGCAGCTCCAGCGAGGGCCTTGGTGCCCAGATGGACCACGCAGGCACCGTGAGCGTGTTCAAAAGACTGGGCCGCAGGACCTAGCCCCTGTGCGGGGCAGGGCACGGCGGCAGAATTGCTGGCTGGTGGCCCCAGCCCCTCTCCAGCTCCTGGCTCCAGCAGAGTCTTCCTCAAGAGCTTGCTGTCCCCTCCCTGCCGGCTTCTGGAGGACGCTCCTTGTCTCCCTCAGGCATTCAGGCTGGGCCCAAACCTTCTGGGGAGTCACCCCAGAGGGGCTTCTTAGTCTGGGATGGTCCCTGTGGCCTGGCCTTGCCCGCTCTGGGACTTTCCCTTCTCTCAGTCGCCTCTGTTCTGTCCTCTCTAGCTGTGGCCTCGGCAGGACCCACTTCTCTGTTTTCCCCAAGGACCACCTCCCTTTGTGCCTTTCCCATCTAGACCCATCTGCGCAGTGTCTGCTGCCTCCAACCCCAGCCCCTCTGTTCCCTGCCCCCATGGGTGTCACCTCAGGGGGCTCCTGTGCCCCTGCCCTGCCGTCTTTCTCCCCCGTCCTCTGCACCTCCCTCTGCTGCTTTAATGTCTTCGGTCCCTCTCTGCCTTCACACTGTTCATTTCTCTTCTGTTTTCTGTCCCTGTGGCAAGGCCCGACCGTCTGCCGCATCCTGCTTGACCCGCCTGAGCCTCCGGCCTCCCAGCGGCCCCCTCGTCGTCGGTGGCGTCGAGCCTGTGCAGAGTGTTAGCCGCCCTCCACTCCCGGGCTGGAGGGGCCGTCCCGACCCTGAGTCCCACCCAGGGCACCTCAGTTGCCCTGTCCTGGGCCACCTTTTTCTCTGAAAGTCCGTGGTGGGTGACGGGCAGGGATACCAAGAAGGGAGGCCAGTGCTGAGAAAGAAGAGGACAGCTGTTTTAATATATTTTTGTGACTTTCAAACGGTTTCCCTCCCCTCCTTAAGGGTGAGTTGTAGGACTGTTTTTCACACCAAGCACAGAGGGGGTGCCAGGCAGGGTTGGGCGCTGTCTGAAGGTCAAGCCCCTACACACACGTGGCCACGGCCTTCCTCCAGGTCCCTGGTGTGAGAGGCGAGGGGTGCAGGGGCACCAGCTCACCATCTGGGCAGTTCCTCTCAACAGGAACAAGCGCTGCACCGCCGCCATACTACCTTTCCCGCCACTCTGTCTGTCAGCACTTCCTCTTGGGCCCTCTTTGTAAGGCAGTGGGTTTCCATATATGATTGGCCATTCACTTATGGCTGTGCAGCCCCTCCTCTGTGCCAGGCTGTTTTGGTGCCGGAAACTCAGCAGTGAGCAAGAAAGACAGGTCCCTGCCCACGTGGCCAACTTCTAACAAGGGAGACTGGTAGGACAGGGTCAGTGCTGCCCACAGAGTTGGAGGCATGGGTAGAAAATACCCTCGCCATCCAGATTTGGGGAGGGGGAAGCCTCTTGGGGGGTGACGTGTGACCTGAGTCAGGGTTAAGAAGCTGGCTCTGTGAAGTTCAGGGGAGGTTCCAGGCAGAGGGAGTGGCCAGGGGCAAAGGCCCCAAGTGGGACCACAAGGCCCGTGTGGCTGGAGCAGAGGGAGTGAAGGGCCTGTGGCGAAGCCCGAGGAGGGCTGAGTGGGTACGTGGGTGCGCAGGAACCAGGCGGCCTGGGGCTGTGTAAGCCAGGCTGAGGACTGGACCGGATCCTGAGAGCATGAGGAGCATTGGGAGGACAGGAGCAAGGAGCCACAGATCTGAGTTACCTTTGATGACGATGGCTGTGGCTGCTGAGAGGAGAGTGAATTGCTGGCAAGGCAGGGAGGAAGCCACTGGAGTGGTCCAGGCAAGACATGATGGCTTGGCGTGAGCTGGTGGCAGTGGGAAGGGGAGGCAGATGGGGCCAGGAAGGATGGGAGTCAAGGATCATGCCTAGATGTGAGACAAACATTGGGAGGAACAGGGCTGTTGGTGGTGATAGGGGACTGGCGAGGGAGGAGCAGTGGGGGTAGAAGGGCTTTCTGTTCTGTGTTGAGTGGGAGGTGCCTGTCTGAGCTCCAGGTGGAGGTGTTGAGTAGGCCACAGGGGCTCCAGATGCAGCTGTACCCAAAGTGATGGGCCTGGGGAGAAAGAGGAGAGGTGCAGAGAGTGGAGAGGACCCAGGAGGGAGTGTGGGGCCCTTTCCTCCTTTAGAGAACAGGGACCTCACTGGGGTGGTCAGGGGGAACAGAGCAGGTGAAGATGAGATTAGACCCCAGCCGCTCGTTCTCCAGTGACATCACGTTGGGCGACGACTACGTGTCACGCCGTGTTCCAGGCACTGGGCCTGGGGTTGCAAGAGCTGCAGCTGATGTCAGTGTGAGGAATAGTGGTTGGAGTGGAAGGCCCAGGCCAGACCTCCGAGGTCAGTCCTCAGAAGGATGGCAAATGACAGGTCAGACTCAAGAGGCCACCTCTGTGTCAGTGCCACCTGGGAGCTCACAGGCACCCTTTCCCTGCTGAGCAGCCATCTTCGTGTTTGTTTTCTAGTGATTTCCTCTGGCTCCACCCCACTGATAATTCCGGCAACTGCTGGGGTTAACTGGGACTTTCAGTTACTCAACTTAAGAGCAGATACTGATTTTTTAGGGGTAACAGGAACTACGGGGATAATGAAAACTTATCATCATATATGATGATATAAAAACAAAACTTAACACGTAGGGCTTACCTGCACAAGGTAAGTTCTCTCACTGTTCTTCAGGGAGGCAGAGATGGGCGCAGTAAATGGCCAAAGGCCTGACTCAGCTGGCAAGTGGCAGGACTGGAGCTGGCTCCAGGGCCCTCCCTTGAGCTCCTGTGCCCTGCTCCCTCAGTGGCAGATTGGAAGCAGAGCCATCTCGAAAAGGGTAGGGGTCCCAGGTTTTTGGACTTGAGTTATGGATGTGTGCATATTGTCACCACCCCACCAACTAGACCTAGGAAGCGATTGCAGCTCTAGGCAGTGGTGGGCCTTGAGAGTCATGCCCGTCCCCGCCACCATCTGCCAGGTACACCATAGCCTGATGCCTCCACCTCCACCTCCCCCTGCCAGCTGTCCTAGAGGCGTCAACCCATTGGACTTACAGTCCCCTCAGACTGACTCCAGCAGCTGGGTGTTGGAGCATTCATGCTTTCACATGGCTCAAAATTCAAAAGGCACATCAGGTCGTACAGCGATGTCTCTTCCCTTCTAGCCCCCAAGTCTTCACTCAGGTCCACCGGGGTTACCAGTTTCTTGTGCAGTTCTCCCAGATACGTGTGTGTGTGTGTATGTGTGTACACTTGCACAGAGGAACAGACAGTACACACACACTTCGACAGCCTATTTAACCAGTCCTCTTTCAAAGGGAATTTGAGTTTCCAATCTCTTCTGTTACAAGCAGTGCTGCAGAGAATAACCTTGTTCACTTGTGGGATCAATCCAGGGGTGAATTTGAAGACCTCCGGTTCTATCTGCAAATTCTGATAAAGTGGATCAATAACAAATCTGAACTAGGCTCTCCCCCCAAGGTCACTGGTATTCTTTGGTCATTGATTTATATATTTACTACCCCATTCAAAAAAAGAATTAAAAGCAGCTGGATTCTTCTAATTGGAGGCCACTGGAGGAAGCTGGTGAGGGGACACTAAGAGCTAACGTTGACGGACCACCACCTGTGTGCTGTTGTTGTTGTTGTTGTTGTTATGTGCCGTCGAGTCAGCCCTGATTCATAGCGACCCCTCCTTGGGTTTTCGAGGCAGTATCACAACGGAAGTAGGATTGCCCAACCTTCCTTCCGAGGAGTGGCTGGTGGGTTTGAACTGCCAGCCTTCTGGTTAGCAGTCAAGTGCCTTAGCCACTATGCTACCTGTGTGCTAGGAGGTACTTACTAACCAGCTTGGTTGAACTGATGGGCCTGTTGAGTCCTTAGGGCAACACTGTTCTTTCCACCTTTCTGCACTGTACTCTTAGGCAGGAAGTCCTGTGCACAGCCCGCACTTAAGGACTAGAAGGTTCTGTCCTGCCTCCTTGAGGCCAGAGTATCTCTATACATTATTTATTATCATCTAATGTATCCACATACATTGTTTGGTCTTCTGCACAGATTTGTCTCTTCTCCCATTTAGTAATAATTTTCATTAGTGTGGACTCATGGATATTTATATTTTGGGGCATATACCAATACTACTTTATTTATTTGATTGCTCAAATTGTTCCCACTTTGGCCATTGGGAGCTCTTTTAGTTAGCTCTTGTGTCCCTCTGGCATATCCCCATCTGCAGGGCAGTGAGTTTCTTTTATATATGGCCTTTCTGGCCTTGCTTGGGTTTATAATTTTGCCCAAAATGATTGGTTGGGCTGCAGCCTGCCCTGTGATTGGTCTATTTTTGAGCACTTTGCAGGGATTGGCCAGTTTACTATGCAAATAGGGTGTGTAAAACCACCCAGTAGGATTAAGTGACTTTGTAGGAATCGGTCAGTTTTTGGCCCAGCTGGGATTTCCAATGCCTTGAGATTGATAAGGAGCTTGCTTATGTGTGTACATCCTACATACGTTTGTACAGAGAGACAATGGGAGAGAGAGGAAACCTTCTGAAACAGCTGCAATAAGGGTCAGTAGCCATAACACTGAAGATGACGCAGGATGGCAGCAGCAGTAGGAACCACAAGGGAGGAGAGCTGAGCGCCTTTGGGCGGGAGGCTTGCTGGCAGAGCCAGTAGAGCTATAACACTTGCCGGGGCAGGCCCAGTGGCAGAGGCCCAGCGAGACCCAGCGGCTGACAGAAGAGCCTGCTGGTGGCATGGCATGGCCAAGAAGAAGCTGAGAGCTATCATGGTTGGAAGCTGTCTTGATTGACGAAGTTGATCCTAATGCCAAGCTGTAGCCTGTTACTTCCCTAATAAACCTCATAACTGTATGGTCTATGAGTGCAGTGTGGCCACTGCCACAAATTATCAAGCCCAGCAGAGAAGTAGAGAGTGCTATGGGAGGGACAGCCAGTGTCAGAGAAGGTGAAAGTGTCAGGGGAAGGAGGTGCGACTGACCTCCACCTTGTAGGACCAGCTTTGTGCTGACTGTGGTCATTCTCATTCCTCCTGATGGATGT